AAAGCGAAGAAAACAGTTATTGTGTTGTCAGCTACTTTTCGTGGTTAAAATCACTATATTTGATGTAGTAGATAAGCAACAGTTACATATTGCACCGAGAAACTTTGGCAGTATCGAGATGTAAGCAAATTTCGAGATGCAATCAATCAAAACTAAGCTGTTACTGATCTGGTATGAATCATGTGAAAAAATCGAATAAACACACAAAACCTTGAAAAAGTTTTCATGCTAACACTTGAATTTTGCTTTATAATTTGTTTTGATTGATTGCTCCAGGAAAGATATTGCACATTGTTTCAAACACTGCACTAGTCTTTCAAATATTGCATTAGAGTTTCAAATATTGCACTAGTTTTTCTAATATTGCACTGCTGTTTCAATTAAAAAACTATTTTTTCAAATCTGGCGCCAAAAGTACTGAAAATGGATTTTGATAATTTTCAAATAATTTCTAGCCAGCAACAAAGCAAATATATGCAACAAACTTTCAATTTAGTCATACTTTGAACAATTTATGTCAACTTTTTTTATCATTTCGAAAATTTTGGACAAAAAATTAGCTATATACGTGGTATATAATAGCAACGCAAAAAATCTAACTCATTTTGCAATCAGAGCATGAATCTAGCGTTAGCGTGCTAGAAACAATGCACTAGTAGCTTAATGCAACTTCAACCTCCATTATATATAAAACTTTTGTGCACACTGTTAATAAGTTCAAGCTGAAGACCAGAATTTATTTGAGAAAAACACGTCACGCACTTTTTCTAAAGTTGAAACAAAAACTTATCACAAAGAAAAGAAGGATTTTTTGAAATTTTGTTTTACAATTGACTTTTGGCCCAAAAAGAATAGAGCAATTTTCTTAATTTTTTATACTCCTTCATAATTCGAGAGCGCATTGTTTTCGTAGAAAATGCTTTCAGCATAATTGAAGTTGTCCAATAAATTTTTTTAAAATACACTAATGGACAAAATTTAGCGCAAATTCTGGATTTTACTTTGTAAAATGCCTGTTTTCTTCAATGCACAATTTGGATAACATTTCCTTCGAAAATCAGTAAATTTTTACATTGACCGAGAGCAAATGATCTGAGCAACCATTTTTGAAAGTATCGATATTTGGTTTTAATGTTTTAACAATGTAACCCGGGTCTGAAAAAGCCAGTTATCCTCATCTGCACTAAGTTTTGCATCATAGTGCAATATTTCTTGAGTAAGCGGAGTAAAATTTTGTTCAAGCAACAAAAAACAGTCGCAGCGAGAAAATGGAAACAATCAGTGTGAAATTTTTAAAACTATACTCAGACTTTTGTTACTTACCCACGCGAAGTAGAAAAAACTTGGTGCAGAAAATTCGCATTGTTAGACCCGGATTACATTGGTAAGTCATTGAAACCAAATATGGATACTTTCACAGATCGTAGCTCTGATCATTTGCTCTCGTTCAGTGTAAAATTTTTTCTGAATTTCGTAGGAAGTGTTGTCCAAATTGTGCATTGAAAACAGGCATTTTACAGAGTAAAATCTAGAATTTGCGCTTAATTTTGTCCACTAGTGTAACATTATAGCACGAATGTGAATTTACGTAAGTGTCCTTCTGGTTTTTTATTTGAAAAGCTGCAAAAATGATTGACAAGTTTCGGAAAATAGTGCATGTTGAAAATAGCCTAATTTATGAAGCCACACTTCAGAAATGCATAATTTATATGAAGCCACTTCGAAAATAAAATGTCCAAAGACTAGAACTAGTCTAAAAGCAGAAACACAATAATGTATTTGGGCCAAAACTCATTGCGCGTCGGCTGAATCTGATACACAATCAATGTTTATAAAAACAAAGGTGGTCATCAAAATGAAAAGGGCAATAATGGTGACCTTGAGCAATTTAATCGGTCAAACACTACAGAAATTGAGTTGAATTAGTTTTTTGGGCACGGTTTTTACGTGTGGAAATCAGTGAAAAACAGAAATCTGACGTCAGAATGAGCAATTTTAGGTTTGTCAATTTCGTTCAGATTCGTTGACCAAAAAGATATTGCCATACTTTTGGCATAAACTTTATAGAGAGTGGCAAAAATTGAAACTGACAGAGTTAAACAAAAAGAGCAAATGACTTGTTTCAGACAACTCTTGCATGTAAAAGCTAAATTTTCAGACCGAAGATATGACTCAAGGTAAAATTTAAACTTTTATGCAGAAGTTGCTCAAAACTAGCCGTTTGCTTTTTAAAATTGTTTTTGTCTGCTACAACTTTTGCTACTAAAGATAGTCTCGCACTATAATTTTAAACAATTTTATAATCTCGGACAGACAAAACGTTTATAAAGAGCACTTGACCTTTTTCAGACAACTTTTGCATGCAAAAGCTAATTTTTCAGACAAAAATTATGTCTAAATGTCCCCAAAAAATTCAAAACTGCATGAAAAATTGCTCAAAATGGGCAGATTTTAATTTTTTTTGTCTGTCCGAACTTTTTGCACCTCTCAATATCGGACAACGTCTTAAATTTGTGAAATAACTGTGACCTTCAGACTGTGAAATGGCGTCAAAATTGCAACCGAATTTTCAAAACTGCATTTGAACTAACTAAAGAGCAATGCAAAATGATTGCGCGTTTTCGGAGAATTTCATTTTTTCTTTATTTCAAAATCACTAATAAAAAAACTTTTTCATTCAACAACGATTTGTCATGTAACTTTTAATGCAAAAAACATAGAATGCCTTCAAAACTGCAAACGCAAAAATCAACGACATGATTCAAGTTAGCTTGAATTTTAAGGTCAGAGTTATTTCAGAAAAATAATACGTTGTCCGATAATTTGTTAAAGCTATATTTCCAAAAACCGTCGCCAAATGACTAATTCAGCTAAAAATTAGTTTGTTTGCCGATTTAATTGCTCAAAATCAGTGATATTGCCAACAGTTTGGCATTCTATAAAATATGGACAAATAATGTTTGCAATTTTTTGAACTTTTTGATGATGCGATTAGTTGTGCACCAAAGTTTCAAGCCAAACTAACTCCGCGCAAACAGGTCAGTTCAAACTGTTCAAAATAGGACGGGAAACAAGCTCATTTTTTGTTGTTGTTTTGACTTTTGTGACAAAAATAAGGGAATATTTGTGCTCAGGGTGGTTTTTTCATCAGACAAATTTCGACTTTTTAACTAGCCAGTTTTGACGGAATTTTTTTATATCATGCAAAATATATTGTTATCTTAAGCTTAAATTTGAAAAGTTACGGGGGTTTAAGGATTGCCGTTTTGGCGAATTTGGCACAATTAACTCGCGATATATTTTGCGCGATTAACGCGTAAGCGGAGATTTAATTCGTCCTAGAAATTAATCCAAATTGGTTCAAGGAACCTTATTGCCATAATTAATTTGTTAATAGGAGCGAAACCTATCATTTTGTACTTAACATGGCGTGTGGGGGATAATTTCATTTAAAAATTTCAAATTTTAGAAGAAAAAAAATTTCTTTTTGTTTTATTTAATTGAATTTTTTTAATGTTATTACTGCCCCATAAGCCCTAAAAGAAGTCGGAACATTCAGGGCTTCGCCCTGATACGAGCAGTCTTGTTCTTCTTTAAGTAATTGGGCATCTGTAATTGCACTTCAGCGAATTCACTCATACGGGGCTGTTATTTAGTTCAACTTTGATTGTCATTGATGTGCAAATATAATGAGTGACTTTAAAAATCCAACATCAAAAATTAAATCCCGAAAAACGTTTCCAACAAGAATTGCTTTGACAACTTACGACCAAGCAATTTCTCCGGTGATCGAAAAAACTAAATATTCTATTTGACTTTTAGTATCGTTTAATTACCACTTTGTCAATAACCTTAGGACAAAAAACCTTCAATGACAAAAAATTGGTCAAAATAGTAAGCAAAGTTATAATGATTCTTTTATTTTGTTTCAAGATAACTCCCAGAGAACCTGGCTTTCACGAAAAAGAAAGCTCGAAAAAATCAAGCAATCACTATCTATTTTCACATATTTTTGTTCCGACTTTCGTAACGAAATTAACGGAATATTTGTGCTCGTGGTGGGGTTTTTTATCTTCAGACGAATTTCAACTTTTTAACTAGACATTTTTGACGGGATTTTTTAAATATCATTCAAAAGATATTGTTGTCCTGAGCTTAAATTTGAAAAGATATTTTACGTGTGATCATTTTTTGTAAGGTTATGGGGGTTTAAAGATTGCAACTTTGGCCAATTTGGGACAATTGAAACGCCAAATTTCACAATTTTTTCAACTAATTTTGTCTGAAAGAAAAATAGTTGACGCAGTTATTCATGATGTTTTCAGCGCCGCCTCCTGCAGAGACCCGTTTAGGAGCATCCCAAGAGTGTTAGTGCTACATAGCATTAAAGTATAGTATAACAGAAGTCAGAAAAGAATGTTTGATTGAAAAAACTATCAAAAAAATGGCTGGTTTTTTCCAATAAGAAGTTAGAAAACTCAATAATCCGCGAAATCATGGGTTAAAAAAACTATCCAAATTTGAAAAAATATATTAGCGAGATTCGGCATTTTTCTGTCCATTGCAAACAGAATGACTTAAATAACCACTGAAATGAAGGTGGATTCATACAAAACAAGCTCTGACGTTTTCTGTAGATGAAAAAAAGCAACAATTTTTTTTCACTGAATTTTTGCAGCGTCACTGATTTTTTATTACAATTCAATGCCACTGAAACTTCATTGTTTTGATTTGTATGGGGAGTGTCACGCAAACAAAATATTTTAGAGCTTTTTAAATGGTTTTTAAAAGCATTTAACTGGTCTCTCTCTGATTGTTAAAACTTAAATTTGCGGTAAATTTTGTCAACTAGTCAGTCTATTGGTTGCCTTCACAACTTCAGGATTTTACTGTTTCCGTGTCGAATTTTCTTTCTGATACAGTTATACCACGCTGTTACACTTTGTACGTTTATATACACTTGTACCACGCTAAAACATTTTATATTACATGTACCATATTACAGACTATATGGTAATATCTTATCTATTGTTCAAAACAATTCGTACCATAGAATTTAGTTCTTGTTTCATTACTGACAAAAGAAAACAGCAATTCAACATTCAATTTTAGATAAACAGACCTGAAAATGGCAGAAAGTGAAGACAACGACAATCCACTTAGGCGAATTGTTTTGAAGTCGAAAGTTGTGCAGGCCACCCGAGATTTCTCCAACTTGCCCCCCCATAGCAAGCTGTCTTTGTTTGACTTAGTTCAGCCTGCAATGCGAACCAACGTGACCTATTTATATGACTATAATGTCTCTTATGATGACTTAGAAGCGGCTGTCGTAATGGTGCTGAACCGATACCCTGAAATATCCGGATGGTTTGTGAAATCTAATTTTACTATCAAAAATTGCATCTCATCAAAAATAAGTTATAAACTAGGCTATTTATTTCGGTTTAAAAAATTTAGGTAAAAAATATTTTTTCATAACTATGCGGAGGGACATGGATACCAAAAAATACTTTGAGTGACCATTTTAATAATCTCAACCTTTGAAATAATTGGTTTTGGAATAATAGAGTTCGCACTTCTCATGGTACTTCATCATTTCATGATGTTTCATCATTTCTTGGTTTACTTCATGCGAGTTTTAAAATTGAAATCCGGAAGTTGAAATGATCGACGAGGCGTTCAAAAATTACCTGTTGGAGATCAGGGATACATTTAGCAAGAAGATACTGTTGCTTCTTTCATAGGCATCATTTTTGTCAATAACCCTAACAAAATTTCTTAAGGCGTCCTAAGAAAATTGTTGATTACCACTATCATACAGTAGCGGATTTAAGGGGGGGGGGGCGGAGGCCCCCTTCAGGGATTCGACCATCTGCCGACCCAACAAGGTCCCCCTTTGTACTATTCTGAGTTATCCATGTTTGGCTTACTGACCCTAAACTTTTATAAGGACGACAATATTAAATAACTTTGAGGGGCAGTCAGTGCCTGCCGAAAAAATGCAATTTTTTGGTCAAATTTTTCTTAAAGTGCCCGAAAACTTTTTCTGGCGTTTTTTTTCAAACATTTGCCTGCGGCTAAAACTTTAACTTTATAGTAATTTCGACATGAAAAAATTGCAGTACTGCACTTGAGGGGAAAAGTCAGAAAAAAATCAATTTTTTTTGGTCAACCATCCAAAACATGCTCAAACTTGAATGATATAGTCGAAAAGTAGCTGCGGCATAGTAAATTTTGTCAACGTAGGGTCTTCATAGTGTTTTGGGCTCCGAAAATCCATTTTGTTGACCAATGAACAAAGGTCGACTACATTTTCGAAAAACCGCATTCCCTACCCACAGAAAAATCCCAGGCGCCCCTCCCCCTCCCCCATGCTTGAGACCTCTCCTGATTTTCAGTTTGATTGACAGTGGAACAGTAGCTCTGAACAACCAAGGTGCTAAAATTCAACAACTTACAGACGCTTTGCTTACAATTGAGGATCTAGAAAAGTGTCAGTTCGATTATGAAACTCTGTGCAACCACTTCAACCAAGATGAGGCCGCTCCTGACGAGTTTCTGTTCAAGGTCACGGTTCAAAGGCTTGCAGAAGACAGCGGGATGATGTTGAATTTTGGATTCCACCATCAAGTGACCGATATCAACTCAGCTTATCTGGTCATAAGTGATTTTTGCAGCTGGGTTAGGGAAGCAAAAATGACGTTTGCGGAACCTGATGTAAGTTTTTTTTGTTTCTCAACAGATCTTTTTCATTTAGCGTTTTTTGAATCAATGATGGCTCGAAACAATATAGACATCCTTTGTAATTTATATCGATACCTTCTGAATTTGTTATCTTTTTCAGATAATTCAGCTAAAAAGAACGGACTACTGCTTCCCTTCTGGCGAACCCCCTAAATATGAACACCCTGAAATTACAATCTACGAGTCCAAAGAAGATTTGGACATTCGTGTGAAAAGAACATACGAAGACCTAGTCGGATGCCCCACCCAAAATGTCTATGCCTTTTTAGACGCCGAAAGTTTGAAACAAATGAAACTTGAAGTGTACGAAAGTGCCTCGGAGCAAGAGAAGACGAAAAGCGAAAATGATCGAACATTTCCATCTACAAATGATTGTTTACTGGCTGTTATTCACAAAGCGTACTCCGAGGCCGCCCATGAGAATCCGTTGGACGAACTTGAACAACTGTTTCCAATTCATCTCAACGTTAACGTTCGGGCGCGAAGAACTCCAAAAGTTCCGACAACCTATTTGGGCAACTTTATAGTACCAATAGCTGTCAACTTAACGAAAAGGGAAATTAGTTCAACCTCGAATTTCTCAATTGCGTGTGAGATTAGAAAGAGGATTAACATGTTAACTGAGGATTACATACAGTCCTTTATCGATATGGTAGCTACAAACGAAGTCACCCAATTCGCTTGTTTTTGCGACCCCACAACGATGCGAAACACCAATTGGAACTTGAGGGGTTTCGACTGGTACCAAAACGGTGACCTTGGGAGTGGGAAGCCTTTGAAGTTATGCAGGTTGACCCAAGTGATTGACCGTTTGTGTGTCATGATTCCAGCATACAAAACTGGAGATATCGACTTGGTTATGTCTCTTAAAGAGACACAAATGAAACGCATGTTGAAACACTTAAATATTATTCGTTACATTACAGGCCAAAAATGATTTAAAAAATTATGCAAAAAAAAACTTAAATCAAGCCAATTATACGTAACTTAATTTACATAATTTACTTAATAGATAATTTAAGAGTGAAAAGACAATGAAGTTTTTCATTCTCAGACAATGAAGATAATGTCCATTAACATAGTGGACATTATACTGGTCGTGACGGTTTTTTAAGGAAAATTCTCAAGGTTTATTCACGCTAAGAATTATGTTCTTGTTAAGATGTAATTTTTTTTTCTTTTTTTTTTCAGGAAAAGTCTTAATGATCCAATAACAAAAGAAGTGCATGTGCATTCATACTTGTAAATGCACATCAGAGCTCAAAACTCCAGAACTCGCATAAAAAATAACCGATAAATTCGGTTTCGGACGCGTCGCAAATGAGATCAGCCATCTTTCAAATTTTGGTCTCAATCAGAATATTCAGCCGCTTTAAGCGAAAGCGACGATAAAAGCAGTAGACCGTACTGTATAAAAGAGACGACCAAGAATTTTAACAGCAATACTAAAAAAAGAAAAGCAAATTGAAGTTTTTTAAAAAGCAGAGATCAATACTGATACTGTTTAACTTGACGTAACTGCTTGGATTTTCGAAGGTGACGGAATATATCAGGGACCGACCTATTAGCAAGTCGGTCGATTAGTATACGCATTTCCAAGTAGGAAGATTGCACATTCACGCTTTCACATTTTGCTCACTCAAATTTGCAATTTTGAACAGGGTGCACTTAGCCAAATTTTGAATTAGACTAAAGTAAAAATTTAACTCATAACATAAAAGTGTTTTTCGAAAATTTTAGAGTTATTTTTTATCGTCTGGAACCACAAATATTTGAAGCAAATACCACAAGCTAATAAGCACACATGCTAATCGCTACGCCACCGAATATATCACACTTGTGTTTTTAGATTTTTTGCCCTGATCATAATGATCGTTTTTGTAGATTTACGGGATTTCATCTCTAGGATCGTTCTCTCTTTCCGAACGACATCGCAAATTCGTCCCTTCGGCAGTGAATTCAGCGGGGCCACCGAGATTCACTACTATCTACAATCCCGAAAGGGTTAGTTGGTGGCAAATATTCTGTATTGTATTATGTTGCTTGCCCCTCTGAGTACTGCTCGTAAGGCTGTCTATCTCGTCTACTCGATGCAATCGCAAGAATTTCCAATGATAAATTAAATTAGATGATATATGTCCAATTACAGAAGGCTCTGAGGGGGCAGAATATAATCTAACAACCAAATCAAAAGGAAAGAGTCCGCGATTTATCGGCCAAATTGCCAAATTGCAATTAACTTCCAACTAACTCCACTAACATTTAACTAATCTCTCTCTTTAGAGAATCTCCGATGAGAACTAACTATCTACTGGTCTCTTACTCCGAGAACCAATTACCTGACTAACTAGCAATACTTGTTCTCTCTAACTAACGGAGAACCAACTCTCCGTTAGTTAGAGAGAACAAGTATTGCTAGTTAGTCAGGTAATTGGTTCTCGGAGTAAGAGACCAGTAGATAGTTAGTTCTCATCGGAGATTCTCTAAAGAGAGAGATTAGTTAAATGTTAGTGGAGTTAGTTGGAAGTTAATTGCAATTTGGCAATTTGGCCGATAAATCGCGGACCCTTTCGTTTTGATTTGGTTGTTAGATTATATTCTGCCCCTTCAGAGCTTTCTGTAATTGGACTCTCTCTCAGTATCAATTGCTCTCTTTTCTGACTGAGAACCAACTACTCTTAATAGAAGCTAACAACTGTTCTCACTGTTAAAGGCTCTCCGGTAACCTCCAATTCCTTATCTCTCTTTACACTTATTTTTAGTTAAGTCACGCCATTCCCTATCAGTCCTGACATCCGCCTAAATCACCGTCCGCTTTTGTTTAAGGCTATATCCCTCCCCCTGTCAACTCTGCCACGTGCCAACTTCGGTTTCTTTTATCAATCGTTTCATGCTTATTAGATACCCGGTATGCGGTAGGTGTCACAGTTTGACCAAGCAAACAAATGTCATACGATTCTACTCAACTAATTCCTGACCTCCGTGACTTCAACCCTCGAGTTCAACTCAACCTCCAAACCATGCTATATTTACTCAGTGACTCTCTCAAGGTCTTTACTTTAATTATCCCATTAACGTTTCGACCTCCAAAGGGTAGGGGGAGACCCTTTTCATGGGTAGCGAATTCATTTCAAGCATCTTAAATTTAAATCTGTACTCTATTCCCATTCCGACCTTCTAGCTATCAGGGGAACGTAGTTGGTCTATTAGGGGTCAAATCAAACCAAAAGTCACCTCCGGGAAGCCAAGTAAATTCCCCGTTCGTTTATACTATTTAGGAGACTTAATTCTTATGCTACGGTCCTATTACCATCAATTTCCTCTGGGACTACTTTTCTATGCAATTTTGGGGTCAAACGCCCAAATGTCAATTTAAGGTCACTAAGGGGTCAACCGGGTCAAACTTCCATATTTGGGTTCAAAATTCCATGGTGATCCTAACTACCAAGTTCCATTCGTATCCCATAAATACTTCACAAGTTATCCCATTTCTAAGGTCAGTTATCACTTTTTCCGGAACAAGGCTATTAACACCGGAAGGAGTAGCCGGAGGGTTTTCACTCACAGGGGGGCTTTTTTCGGGTTCGTATCTTGTGTCGATTGCTGCAGTAAAATTATTATGCCACAGTTCATTATTTCGCGTAAATTGTCTATTTCCGGTCTCGGGGGGGTATTTTTCCAAGTGCTAATAACTTCCGATCCAATCGCCGGATTTTATTCAAATTATAATACAAGATGTCTCTTGCCACTACCTATCATCCCTCCAAGTTTCAGCTCCCTGTAATCATTGGAGGCCGAGAAACGACTTCCGGAATTTAGGGATGGGTTTGTTTACTTGGGGCATAAAACCGGAAGTGGGGTTCCTAGGAGTCTGGGATTCCAAACTTAAGCTTCCCTCAACTAGGCCTACAACATACAAAAATTTGAGCCCGAAACCGCCGCTAGTTTCCGAGTTCTGACAGGGCCATTTACACTTCCGGAGACCATTATCACTTGCCCCCCCCCAAAGGTCTGAGGGGTCCTGATTTTCGTATGCCCGGGTCAAATCATCTGTAGTACCGCTCCTCTGAATTTCATAACATAAGCTTTCTTAGTTCCAATTTGGGCGGGGGGTTCGCCGATTTTGTCAAATTTTATTTTCTGGCATAGGAGGGACAATATCTTCGAAGAATGAACTATTTTGAACTCGACCCTTTGTTTGCTGTACTACTTAACTTAACGATGAACCAATCTTATGCTCAGGTTACTGTAGCATATAATACAGTAGAATCACCATTTCTAAAGTTATGCTGCAATTATTTATAGAGCAAAAAGCAAAAATTAAGTAAAAAAACCTAAAGCTATCTTCAAAGGCAGCGATAGCGAAAAGCGATTTTCAAAAAGGTCTACACTCAGATCTTCCCATAAGCAAAATATCTCACTTTATTTAATAATCACAGGTTTTTAGTGAGCAACTAAGATTTTGCCCTGATACGAGCAGTCTTGTTCAGTCTCTATTGATCAGTCTTCTCATAATACCACAGTCGACTATACAACTTTTCATTATAATACCAGATTTTGCGGGGATGTAAAACGCTCCAAAATGTCGTTTAGTGGTTAGAACAATTTCCACGTTTTCATTTCCACATTTTTCATTTCCACGTTTAGTGATTAATTATTGGATTTTAATAGACCGTAACAAAATTTGAAGGACTGCCAAACCTAAACGACTTCATATCTATTTTCCAATTTTTTTTCCTCGAGAAAGAAAATTATATTATAAGCTAAGACATCTAAATGTGACTCTCTAAACGCTCTGAGCGACATTTGCGAAGACAAATTTGCAAAAAAAAAAGCAAACGAAGACATATAAATTCGACTCTTTAAAAACGAAGGACAGCATTGATGCACAAAATCACTCTCTAAAGTCTGAAGACAATGCACACATCAAATTGAACAAAAAAAAATAAAATTAGAAAAGAAAAAGGTTAACACACACAAGAAAACCCGCACACAAGGTTCAAGCAGCGTTACAATTAGGGACAACGAACAAAGAAACCTAGGCAAAGGAACCTAGTTCAGAAAATAAAACACCTAAATTTCCTTGTTTCTCCAGCAAAAAATGATGGTTTTTATGATTCGACACTCAAAAAATGAAAACTTGAAAACGCAGGTCATATTTATGGAACCGTATTTATTAAAATAAAGAAAAACTGAAAGCCAGAAAACAAAATCGAATCTAGTCATCTGTGTGTCGCTGATTAACGGTATTGGAATGAAGTTGTGGCTGTGCAGTGCTCGAATTTACTGTTAATCAACAAGGTGTTGCTCTTCCGTTGTGCAGCCACTGCACGACTGCTGTTTGCGGCATACGTTATGCATTCAGGCTCTACACACGAGAGTTGCCTGAGATTGAACACAATTTTCTTCGGCATTTAATGCAGTGCTCTAGACCACAGCTTGCTATTTATGTCATGGCTGTCTTCGCAACAAACTGCTTGACAAGGAGCTCTTACGGTCCCCTTTTGTTTTGGATTCCAACTCCAGACCCTGTCAAGGTGGCTGGTCCGGTTTCACGTACTCGGTTGCCTAAAATCTGACTGGCTGCATCGGAGATCAGAGTTGTACCGAGCCCGGCCCGGGCCTCATTTTTACGAGCAGCAATCGACCCGGGCCGGGCCTGACTTTAAAAAGAGTTCACACCTTTCACACTTCCGTTAACAGCTTTCACACTGCTTCCGTTTACACCTTTCACACTTCCTTTAACACCTTTCACACTTCACTTCACTTCACCCCCAGCTCGCCCGGCAGCTCCTACCTGTTCAAGCTCCAAAAGCGAGCGTGAATTCAGCAGGGCTGAGCAAACCGGACAGCCAAGCGTGCCCTCCTTTCTGTGGCAAAAGTCAGTCAAATCTAACTGCCAAGATCGGCTGCAGCCAATGGACTTTTTGTTAGGAAATTTGTGTTTTCATTCAAAACGGGCCCGG